ATATATAAACTAATTGCTTCAATTTATGCTTGGCCTTAAATAATTTATATCATATTATGTGCGGGGACTTCAATACCCCCGAATGTTTTTCGATATTACCCAGTGTGCCCGCAAAGCATTGGTATTACCCACCAATGCTTTGCGGGCAAAACACTCAAAACTTAAATTTCTCTGCAACCTCTGGTATATACCGTATATCATATTACGTGCGGGGACTTCAATATAAGCCTCCTCGGGTTTTGGCACTCTGGGGCCAAAACCCCGCGGGGGCAATTAATATTACAATAATGTGCGCGCACACAATATGTTAATGCTTGTTTAATATGGTTGAGTTACAACAATCAATGTCTTACACTGTTCTTGTCTGCTGACCTTCTCTGAAACCGAAGCATAACTTCGATCCCGTTTGGTTATTAAACCTGACGGGGCTACTTCCAGAACGAATTTTAAGAAAACTTCGTTATGAGGACCGCACGATATGTGAAAAATTAAGGCAAAATATGTTCGTTGCCATGACATAATGTGGCAAGGCGTTTGAGGGTTGACATGTATAAATTAAAGTAACTCAATATAGGACAACGTGCAAGTGTAATTCAATGTTTAGTTTTATGAATGGTTTAAATGGTAAACTGTAAAACATGGAATCTGGAATCTTGTAATCTCGGAATCAGAGAATTCTGGAATCTTTAATTATCATATAACCGCAAAATATTTTATTATCACGATATTACATTATTATCTGACGTAACATATTGTTCTGCATGCGATAATTTAATACTTCGAGAGAAAAAATCAATTAGCAGGAGCAGACCTTGGTAATATATTATATACTGTACGTTGCAGAATTTAATGTCTCCATTTTGATGCCAAAACATAATAATGTAAGCGCTGTGCGTGCATTTAAAAATAATATCGTCAGTTTATGATGAGAGCTAAAATCAAGTGCGTAGCAAGATGACCAGGCAGGAGGCAACTAAAGAAACCATATCTTATATTATTGCAATCAGGAAAACCTCAATTATAGATGCACTATAATAGCACCTCGTATTCCGACAACAAATACTATGCACACTTGCGAACACTTGCAGAGTTCATTTAGTCTACATTCAACGAATTGAATTATAAGGTTATAAATTATGTCTTATATTATGCACAATTGTAAACTTGCACGTTTTATTTGAAACTAGCTTTATTGAAAATATGTTACAATATGGCGGCTATGGTGAGTACGCGTGTTTATATAACAGTAGGAGACTGGATCTAATATTACGTACAGGAAGTTAATATAACCGGAAGTGTGACATCCCCCTTTCTTTCTTTTTTTTTTAAAGTTTTTTTCTAATTACAAAATTACTTTAAATAATTGGAATAATGTCTCGGAGTAATGTCTACTTGCACAAAAATAACGTAATGTATATATTGTCAATAAACTACAAGAAAAATGCTTATCTACAAAAAATTAATTTAATGATCAGTCCCTGCTAATAGATCTGCACCTACGAAATGTTCAGTCTTTCTGGTGGTTTAGAGATCCGTCCTGACCTAGTTACACAGTATGGCTGCAACTTACATAACTGATCTTCAGGTGGTGCACTTTCTTCTCGAGATACTATCATGGGTGGTTTGGTTTCTTGCTTCCGGTTACAGCTCGGCCGAAAAGGTGCGACTGGTCTTAAAAATTGCATAGACTTCGGTCTTAACTGCGTTCTAGTGCGGCGGTAGATGGATTCTGTTCTGTTATTCTTGACGTACTATGGTGGTCGTAGATGTTAACGGGTTCACCTTCGTTGAATGGCTTTAGGATTGGTCCAGCTGTGCGGTTATAGTATAATGCTTGTTGCCCCTGTTGCTGGTGCAACTCATTCTTGGTCCCACCAGGCACACGACGTTATTTCAACGTTGAAATTTGGTAGAAAAAAGGTTGAGACGTCGACAGCCTAATATCTACGTTGCTCTGACGTTGTTTTACAAACATTGGTTCAACAGCAGCCAACAGACGTTGAATTAACGTTCATTCATAGTTAAATGTACGACGTCGATTTGTGAACCAATCTCAACGTTGTTTTAACGTGGATTCAACGTTGAATTATGGTTGACGAGATTGGCAACCTAATTTCAACGTTGTTTCAACGTCGAAACAGTAACGTCGATCCAATTTGCATAGTAAACCCTTTTTCAACGTCTATCCAACGTCTGGAGGGTCATTTCCAACGTTGATTCAACGTTGGATAAACGTCATTTTGCCCGCTGGGGTGATGCTGGTGTCATTATTCACACGAGCCCGCTTAGCCATCGGTAACGTTGTCCCTAACTTGCGGCTGTTCAGCAATTCTGATGGAGATTTCAACCGGTGACTGACTGGCGAACTACGATAGGAAAGTAGTCCTAAGTAAGGATCGGTTCCATCCTCATTACATTTTTTTAGGATACCTTTCACGGTTTGAACCATACGTTCTGAGGAACCATTGGATTGTGGGTACATAGGTGAACTTGTGGTATGCTCAAATCAATAAACACCAGCAAATTGTTGAAATACATAGTGTTGAGATGCATATTGCGGTCCATTGTCAGTCACAAGCTTGTCTGGAATGCCATATTCTGCGAAGATGCTCTTGAGGTGATTAATAATCGCATGGGATGTAGTGCTAGTCAGCTTTCGGACGATGGGAAATTTGCTATACTCATCTGATAACAACAGATATGAATTACCCTTATACTCAAACAGATCGGAGTTGAGTATCTGCCAAGGGTAACAAGGTGGTTCAGGTTGAAGTAGATCCTGTTTTTGCTGCTTACGTTGATGCTTATTTATTTTTTTATTTATTTAGCTTTGCCAACTAGGGCAGGGTCACCACAACAGCATATGCCAATTACTGTTGGCCCTTTTTTACCTAACCCACCCTGTCAACTTTCCCTGTGGGAGGAAACCGGAGTACCCGGGGAAAACCCACGGCTTTCAGCAGAGCGTTAACAGGTAGGCAATTTGTCGACGCTGACCAAAAATAGCGGCTCATTTCTTCTCGAGTTGACATTTTCGCTTCGAAGAGCAAAAATATAGACTTTCGGACAACATTTTAGCCGTTTACTATCAAATATGTTTGTGAAACAGTCAATAATCTTACTGAGGAAGGCCAACGGTTTCTGAAAAGCTAAAGTACGTCGAAATCCAGCTTTGGAATAGACTATATTTTCACCGAGGAAACATGAACTAAATGGATATTTACATCAACACTAGATTTTGCTCGTGCCTACAGAGCTAGTTGGATTAAAACAAATATTAAGAAGTAAGTGAAAATGTGAATTTTGTAAATTATATTTTAATTAAAATGTTTCAGATGGTCTGCTAATGCCAAACTACAAGTGTGACAGAGCTGTCAGTATACCCATATTTCAATGTTTATGTTGTATTGACCCAACTTCTTTGAGGTATAGCTTAAAAATTAGGGTATGCTCATCACTTGAAACTAGCTTTAAATCAAAGTTTTATCTATTGTTCTTTTATTAGAATTAAAATCATTCATGGGAAAAATGTGCCAAAGGGTTGAAATTGCCCTTGTAAATGTACACTATTTTTTACATGTTTGGGTTAGTATTTTGAAAAGGTGTTTTGGAAGGAAAATATGTCTTGAACAATACTGGTTGAGCCTTAAATTATAACTAGCGTCATGTAAATCACAGAAAATTGAAACAAAACTGGTCCATACACAATATTTTGAATTCTATAAGGTCCCGAATGGGCCTTATTTCAATGTTGAATCTGTTTACCTGGAAAAACTTAGAAAATTGAATAAGTCAAGAATTTGACTATGCTCATCATCCAAAACCAGGTTATTCTAATTGCTTTTTCACCTGGGTTTCTGGCAATACCAGTTATGCGACTACGAAAAATGCGCGCGGCACTTTTTTTGGACACTGAAGATGGTGACATTTGATGTTGTCATATATTGCCATCCTCTTATCATAGTATAACTTAACTTATTTTAGTGAGTTTGTTACAGTGTTGTGCTCACTATATGCCTGTAGTATCTAAGATTTTTTCATGGCATTACATGATAAATTTAAGTTCTGTTTTCTTCTATTTTTAGGTGATAGTATCTGTTCACATGAGTGTTGGTATCAAATTTTGCACAAGATTCAATTATTATTTCACATTCCTTTATTCAAATATTCAAATAAATGGAATATGACATCAAGCTGGAGGACTAGATCCTGTTTCCAAACTTGTTTTTGTAAAAATAGAAAATAACAACTTATTCTGTGTTGTTCTAATAAAAACTATTGTTTTTGATATGCATATTTAATTTTTAAAATTACATTTCATTCTTTGTTAAAATGTGTACCAGGAATACTGAAATCTTTCAGATCAACTAACAATATTTTTATAACTTATATAGCCAAGTGTTCTGTCTATTTCTGTTCAGATTAAACAAATGATGGGTAAAATATTAGATTAGATTTTTTCAAAAATATGAGTTTGCCTGTTTTCAAAGCATAGAAATCAATAAAATAAAGCAAAAGTACTTATTTTTAATTTAAAATCTTTGGACTGTACAGCTTGATGTTTTCCACTAAATATTACAAAGTTTTGGTTCATTAAAATGTTGTTTTATCAGTTTTAAAACCAGATAAATCCACGAAACACTCCTGAATATGTCGCCATATTGATTTTATTCGCGCATGCGCAGACAAATTGCCTACCTGTTCAGAGCGTTGACTTTTTACTCTTTTCACATGGGGACTGGGTTCGAGTCGCACTGAGAAGGTACTTAGTGAGACTCGAACCTACAGCCTCAGAGGTGAAAGGCAAGTGCGCTAACCACTTGGCCACCGAAGCCCCTAAACAGTGCATTTACAACTATGATTAAAATCATCTTATATCTCTAGCGACAGTACACTTACAGTCGAACTTGTTAGTAACTGGCTGGTACAGAGAAGTTGTCAATTTTTTCAAGTGATAATGAACGTAAAGTTTAAACAACTGACATGCATGCATCACAACTTTAAACAACTTTGATTATGTCCTTCGTAATTCCAGGCCAAAACACCGCAGATCTTGCTCGGAGAAGACATTTCACTTGTCCTAGATGCCCTTCATGTATCGTTGTAAGGACGTCTTCTCTAAGATTTGGCGGCATAACTATGCGCTCTTGCTTTAGGATGAGGCCATCCTGAATTGTAAGTTCTTCTCTAAAGTTCCAATAATCGTGGAGCAATTGAGGGCACTGTTCTCTCGTGGCTGGCCATCCTTGGTAAACTACCTCGCGTAGTTTATTCAAAACTGAATCATCTGCAGTCTCATTTCGAATTTGCTGCAGCTTTATAGGAGAAGCTGGAAGGGTGTTAGTAATCTGGTGGATATCTAGTTGTGGAAGTTGACCTTTGAGTGGTACAGCTTGTGGTGATACTCTGGACAGGGAATCAGCGATAGGTACTTGTTCACCTTTCACATACGTCACGGTTACGTCATACTTGAGTGCTCTTAACACGAATCGTTGTAGTCTGGATGGGCAGCTACTCAATTTCTTCCTAAAGATTGTTTCCAAGGGCTTGTGGTCGGTGTGCACAGTACACTTCTTTCCATACACAAAGTAATGAAATCGTTCGAGCCCCCAAACAACGCCAAGTGCTTCACGCTCAACGCTACTGTACCTCTGCTCAACTTCTGTGAGAGCCTTAGACGCATAACACACGGGTTGACCTCCTTTTTAGAAGCACTGCGCCTAAGCCTTTGAGAGATGCGTCAGTTTGAATGGTTGTTTCTACATCAGGGTCGAAATATCGGAGTACGCCCAGCGAGGATACTTCGTTCTTCACTTCATCAAATGCGCGGGTATGCTCTGGCCCCCAACAATACGCAACATCTTTCTTGGTTAGATCGCGAAGTGGAGATGATAGGGTAGCCAGACGTCCGGAGTAACTTGTTAGATAGCTTACTAAACCGAGAAAGCTCTGTAGACTTTTTGCATCTTCCGGCGGCTTCATATCAAGGATTTCTGATACTTTCTTATTATCAGGCTTCATACCTTGTGGTGTCCAAGAGTGTCCAAAGAAACTCACTTCCTTACACTTGAACTGCAACTTCTCCCTATTAAACACCACACCCTTTACTTTTGCTCTTTCCGTAAGCTTGACTAGGTTTGCGTCGTGCTCTTCCTCTGAAGATCCATATACAAACGTGCCGTCTGCTATACCAGTGATGCCATCGAGGCCTTCAAATGCTGTGTCCAGCTGCTTCTGAGATATATCTTGAGAAACAACAAGACCAAAGGGTAATCAGTTGAAACGATAACGGCCAAAGGGAGTGCTGAAGGTTGTGAGATACGAGCTTTCTGTATCCAGAGGTACGTGCCAGTACCCCTTCCTTGCATCTACCACAGTGAAGAATGTAGCATCTTTTAGCTCAGTGACCACCTCATCAATTGTCCTCGTGCGATAGTGCTCTCTTTTAACCCACTTATTCAAGTCACGGGGATCCAGGAAAAGTCTTACCTTTACTATCTCTCCTTTGCTGTTGGTTGTCTCGCTCAGCACAACACGATTAACCCAATCTGTCGGTTTCTCAACTGGTGTTATAACACCAAGTTTTAACATATTGTCACTTTCCTGCTTGAAGTGGTCCCTAAGGTGCACTGGAACTTGTCGCGGTGGGTGGATAACTGGTTCTGCATCTGGTTCTAAGGTGATATGGTATGGCTCATATCCTTGAATGTACCTAGTCCCTCAAATCTATCCGGGTACTCTTTCAACAGAGTCTCTTTAGTAAGAGGCGTAGCCCTCTTAACAACATTTTGTGAATTCGATAGAGTTGGTGTGCTCGCGTGCACATGCATTATTTTACAAGGAAACTGTACCAATCCCAGGTCACGCGATGTTTGACAACCTAGTATGGCAGGTCCTTCGACATCCGTAACATTAAATACTATTGGTTTAACTTCATCCATATGATGTATATATAACTGACAGGTGCCAATGTTCCTAATCTCATGACCTCCATAAGCGGTGATTTTTATATTAGGTGGCTCAAGCCGCCTTCGTTTGGGATTGGGAACAATTGTTTCATAGTCATGTTTAGATAGAACATTCAGTTCTGCACCAGTGTCAATTTTACATACTACTGGGGTGGTATACTTGTGGTAAGGCTCTGCAGTCAGATGGGTTTCAATCAGTACTTTATTTTTCTGCTCTGTATTAAGGCTATTAATTTGGTTTGGGTTAGCACCAATGTTCGGACACTGTTCTGCTAGTAAAGTACCAAGAAATATTTTTTCATCAATATCTGGTTCATTTGAATTGCTATCATCACGCTCAAGTGAGTTACAGTTTGTTTTGATTGCCTTGAAACACATACTTTGGTAATGACCAGTTTTCTTGCATCCAAAACATTGTGCCTTAATAGCAGGACATTTCTGATCTTTATTGTGTGCTGTATTCCCACATCTAGTGCATACGGGCTTATCCCATTTCATTCTATATCCCTTTTGCCCCTTTTGTCTATCATACAATGGTTTGGTCTTACCTCGATTCATGTTTCCTCTCCTGTTTTTCTGCAATGAGTCTACCTGTGTAGGGTTTGAAACATCTCTAGTCATCACCTTTAGCTGTTGTCTGGTAGCTTCCTCGGTGCGGGCGATTTCTCTTGCTTTTATAAGAGTTAGTTCATTCCCTTCAGCAATACATTTCTTACGGACTGTATCTGAATCAACTCCAAATACCAAAGCATCTCGCATCAATTCGTCATGTATTTCATCCGGATAACCACTGTTCTGAATAAGGAGGTTTGCTTCGGTTAAAAACTCGTCGAGCGGTCGGTTGTTCTGCTTCAAGTTTCTGAGATAGAAACGGTTGAGAAGATGGTTGGACTGAGGTTTTACGTGCTGTTCAAATCTTGTCCAATACTCGTCTAATTTGTCTTGATCGGCTTCACTCAAATTCCATGTATTGTAGAGGTCAAGACCATAATCTCCTACCCATAGGAGAACATATCGACATTTCTGCTTAACAGTTCGATCTTTCAAAGGGCCATCAAACAGTAATTCACACTTCTGCCGAAATCGCTTGAGCCGTTGTGGCAGATCTGGTCCGGGTGTCCAATCGATTCTTGGCGGTTCAAAGCCAGCTAGATCACTCATTTTGTTAACAAGTAACCAAGTACTTATTGTGTTGGGTTTCTAGACCTTCTAGTCATCAATCCCGTACCTGACACCATGTAAACTTGCACGTTTTATTTGAAACTAGCTTTATTGAAAATATGTTACAATATGGCGGCTATGGTGAGTACGCGTGTTTATATAACAGTAGGAGACTGGATCTAGTATTACGTACAGGAAGTTAATATAACCGGAAGAGTTTATTTTTCTAGAAGATTCACTTTTCTCGATTTTTTGGCAAAATTTGGAACCGGACTCATACTTTTGGCATCCACTGTATATTGCTGGATTCTCTAAGGCCCGGTTTAGACGGCGAACTTTTCATGCGCCGAATCTAATTGTCGTAGATACGGCAAAATATCGGAAGCTGATTTAGACGTCGAACTTAATTGTACGGTTTGTACCGTACCAAATTGCGAGGACACTATATTGGACATATTTACAATGCAAATATATGATAATCATGTTATGATGTTAAAAAATAATTATGCATTAGGTTCGGCGCATGAAAAGCACGGCGTCTAAATCAATGTCGAACCTGTGTCGCATATACGACTTGTCTTGTCGCATCTTCGAGTCATGTCGAACTTAATCAAAACCTGTCGAACTTAATTGATTTAGACGCCGCTCCAGCGTCGCACTTAATTCTTGCATTAGATTCGGCGCATGAGAAGTTCGCCGTCTAAACCGGGCCTTAGTCTAGACTAGTAATTTCATTTAATAATAACAAGAATATATAACATTTTCAGCAAACTCATTATACACATTTGTTGACAAAGAATATAAGTTATGACATGATTTTTTCGGTAAACCGCAATTGATATCCAATGGAAAATCGATATCCAATGGATTTGATGTCTACCGAGCGTACGTTTTTGTCCCATAAACAAGACTTTACAAAATATATAAACTGTTCTATTATTTGACTGTGGCACTGGCACTTTCTACGTCAGCTATAAATCCTATAATTTATTACGTTACAAGTATGACGAGCCGCACGGGTTTAAACAGGATTAACTTTTAGGTGTTGCTTAACGCAGCATTAATAGGAAAAGTGTGAAAGGTGTTGACATTTGTTTCCAATTAATAGCCTGGATTATTTTCCCTTGCATGTAATTTAATGCCAAGTAATGAGATGTAGTTTAATCATTGAAAAATATTAACTAATCTTGTTTATGAAGCGACTTGTCAAGTTGTCATCACCAATTGCTGCATATTAGAACTTCAGAATATAAGTTTACAAAATTTTGGGCGCCAAATTCAATTGCGCCAAATCATCTGAAGCGAACAGCATGTCAAGGGATCATGGCGTACAAACGCGTTTACTCAGACAAGCTTCATACTCTAAAACTCTGGTATGCCTACTGGTATGCCTTTATCTGTCGTACGTAGCGAAAGACGCTCTATATAAAGGCTATAAGCCATGGCCATGGCCCAACGTGTTGGTTGACAAAAATATCAGCGAATTTGGTAAGACACTTTTTACTAATTTACATTTATTTTACAATAGTCATACACAAATATTGCTATTTTTATGTTTATTGACTCTGTAATCCAAATCGGTTTCCGTATTCTATCCTTCTTACACATGTGCCAACCCCAACTCCATGCTGACGAGTCCATGAGACCATGAAGGACGAAACGCCGCGTACAAGGATATTGAATTTTACACACATGACTATCTCTTTCTCTCGCTCTATATATTTTACATGCCTCCATACAAGCTTTTTAGTACAGCGCGATCATACTCTAGCTTTGGGTCTGATCAAATATATATTTTACACCACAGGATATATTTTACCTTCACAATTTTACTCATGCTTACATCTCCAGTTTTGTGTTTCAAAATCTACACATACAAATACAAGTCGTTTTTTTATCTTTTATCCTCAGTTTCATCAAATACAACATAATTTTCACAGGCATACATTGTGCCAACAACACGGGGCCATCACACTATCATGTATCACACCGCAGCACTTTTTGATCTAACATTTAGGGATTATTGAGGCATTAAAATATTACTAGGACACCAATATGGTTCTCATTATATCTAAACTTAAAAAACAGGTTATGAAGATGCTCCATCTTTTCTTAAGCAGTGAAAGCTATAAGTAGTGAAAGCTGTATTTTTCTCTGCGTGCAGTACATATCCCACTATAAATCCCGGCGCAACGCAAAATATAGCCTTTGCCTCAGCAGGAATACTTAGGAATCCTTTTAGTGGAAACTCCTGTGCCAGAAAGATGTGCCATCTTTTGCTGGCAGGTTATGAAGATGCTCCATCTTTTCTTAACCAGTGGAAGCTAAATAGGAGTCTGTGTTATTCCTTGTATACGGTACATATTATATACTATAAAACAGGCGCAACGCAAAATATATAGCCTTTGGCTTTGCCTCTGCCGGAATAGTTAAGAGTCCTTTTAGTGGAAACTCCTGTGCCAGAAAGATGTGCCATCTTTTGCTGGCAGGTTATGAAGATGCTCCATCTTTTCTTAACCAGTGGAAGCTAAATAAGAGTCTGTGTTATTCCTTGTATACAGTACAGTACATAGTATACTATAAAACATGGCGCAACGCAAAATATAGCCTAGTTGGCTTTGCCTTTGCCGGAATAATTAAGAGTCCTTTTAGTGGGAACTCCTGTGCCAGAAAGATGTGCCATCTTTTGCTGGCAGGTTATGAAGATGCTCCATCTTTTCTTAACCAGTCGAAGCTAAATAAGGGTCTGTGTTATTCCTTGTATACACTAAATATTAGTATGTTGCACTATAAATCACGGCGCGCGCAACACAAAATACTGAGCCTTTGCTCCTTTTAAGAGTCCTTCTAAGGACGAAATGAAGCATCTAGTGTAGATGCTTCATTTTTCTTAAGCAGTGAAAGCTATAAGTAGTGAAAGCTGTATTTTTCTCTGCGTGCAGTACATATCCCACTATAAATTACGGCGCAACGCAAAATATAGCCTTTGCCTCAGCAGGAATACTTAGGAACCCTTTTAGTGGACGAAATGAAGCATCTAGTGTAGATGCTTCATTTTTCTTAACCAGTGGAAGCTATTGAGAGTCTGTATTACAATTTTCCCTTGAATATTATGGAGCAAAATACGTAACGCAAATATAGTAGCCTTTCAAAATAAATTATCTTGTATACTATTATATAATCTATTTTCCGCTCCTTGCGCGACCTTTTTCCAATGTAGGCCTATTGCTATCCGTAAGGGAAAACAAACTAGTAAGGAGATATTAATACCATATACCTAAAGAACGCATTGCGCATCTAAACCAGAAGCACCTTTTGGCGCATCTAAGCCAAAATAGCATTGTGAATTAGCTACACCTGGAGCGGTATCTATAGCGGTATCCTGTAGTGTTAGCTCTGTCAACAATCAAGCCATTTATTTGTACTAAACTGTACCTAAAATATCATATAACATATGTAGGTTAATATTCGGACTGAAATTTGACTTATTACATGTTTGATCTCACACTGTGTCATATTTACATTCAGAAAGCTATATCTGCAGGTGTGATGTCATAATTACACAATCAAAACGGAGATTGTATAAATTGATTAGTCAAATTCAAGTAGCTAGGATCGATGTGTTTGCAGCAATTTGAAGCCGTGAAAAAACTGGGTATTTTTCATTTTTGCATAATTAGAGTTCATGCTGCAAGGTCAAGGACATTCTTAGTAATTACGAATGGGATTTGCATAACACCTAATATGGAAATAGTGCTAGCCAGTGTTCGGGATGTTCCATGGAACATTTCCGTTTCAAAGGCTGTTTTGAAAATCCGACTGTTCTGTATTGCATCACGATTGCATTCAGTCGGTTAGGTGGAAAACGCGGACATGCGGACATGCTGACACGCAAGTCAAGTGGAAAACGCGGACATGCGGACACGCAAGTCAAGTGGAAAACGCGGGCGGACATGCGGACACGCAAGTCAAGTGGAAAACGCGGACATGCGGACACGAAATTTACTAAACTTCAAAAAATCTATTACGACAATAATTAATAATTTTTCGCGTGATATTGAAAGTTATCAATGCCGTGTATTTCTCTCTCTTTCCTCTGTCTTAGTTTGTAAGCTCGTTTAGTGTATTTCGTTTATTTCGCTTCTTTTTTTAGTTACAAAAACAAATCTCGCCATGGGCCATGGCTTTTATGTTCTGCATGTAAAGAAGCTCGTTTTCTGCTGGCAGAATAGATGTCATATTTACATTCAGAAAGCTATATCTGCAGGTGTGATGTCATAATTACACAATCAAAACGGAGATTGTATAGAAAATAATGACTGAAGATTGATAATGGATTGTTGCGCGAACTTAGTACTGTTTTCATGTATTTTTCTTACAGTATTGAAGATTCTGAAAAATCCATTCAGAATCTTTACAAAATACAAAACAACGGCAATTCAGAAAAGAAACGTTTTCATATATTCAAGTTTCAACTGCACATGTTTTAATCAGGTAACCAATAAAAAAGTACTGGGAATTACGTTAGACGATGAACTGAGATGGCATAAACACAATGATCTTCAATGCAAAAAACTATCCAAGAGCATTGCCTTATTAAGACGAGCCAAACGATTTGTTAACCAAAACGTCTTAATTAACATGTACAACTCACTAGTCTTACCTCACTTTACCTATTGCTCCAACGTGTGGAATGACGGCAGTCGTACATATACAGACAAGCTTTAAAAAATGCAAAAACGAGCGGCTAGAATTATCACTGGGTCAACTTACGAAGTAAGATCGAAAGATATATTTAATATCTTACACTGGGAACCAATTGAAACCACTCTTAAGAAAAGAGAAATGATAATGACATTTAAGGCCTTACAAGGACAACTGCCAGAATGTATGACCAACTTCTTTAAAATTTGCCTAAATTATATGTACCCATTAAGAAGTAATAACTCGTAAACTTTATTTGGAAAAACCTAAAACAGACTTCTTGAAGAATTCGTTTTCATATCGAGGTGCGGCATCATGGAACAATCTTCCAAATGATGTTACCAACAACTACAAAGTGCTCTCCATAAGTAACTTCAAAACTTTAATCAACAACTATTTCACCAATTTGGAGAGGAATAGTGTATGACAACCACTTGTGGGGCGGATTTTGATTCGAAGGAGTAATTTTTTGGGTCTGGGAGGGTTAACATAACGTACTATTTCTAGTTATATATATGTGAGTCATTCTAATTTATGTATAGTGTTCATTGCATGGGCTTTCTTTTTTACACAGTTAGTATGTACAATAGATTTTTCATATTTGTAATTATTCTAACGGCCCCTTGAAAAGCAGTTTAATCTGAAGGGCTACCGTTTTTAAATAAGATGAATAATAATAATAATAATAATTGAATGATACTAGGTTATATTTTACAAGTGAGGAATTACAGAGTAATTTGATATACATACACATACGTATATATTATGAGGTATTTTGATGCTTTACTTCCTTGCTTCAAGGTTAAGTTCTCAGTGCAAAATTGTAGCTGATCATGACTAACTTGTGATCGCCGATCATCACTAGGGGTACAGTTGATCGCACGCGCAGGTATAGTTTTGCAACTATTTATTCGTCGGGATAATTATTATGATATAGAATTATCGTGAAACAGCCTATTATGTTCGAATTTTGCTCGAGAAAAATTCTATTTTAATAGGTAGAAAAATGTTCAAACATGCCAGATCTGACATTTTGAGTGGGACCTCTCAATACAGTCAAAGCATGCATTTACAACTAATTCATTGTTTTGTCAACTCTCGTGACAAAATTCATTGTTTTACTAGTGCCCAGGATCCTGGCCTGTGCTATAGTCTCATTTATTTTTTTTATTTCTTTAGACTCTAGCCCCAAAGCCAAAGCATTATTTTTGAAATGTTTGCTCGAAAACGGCCAATTATGCCGACTATCCTCGTAAAGGCCGGATTCCACGAGGCGGAATTTTTCGACCGAAACGAAATTTCTCTTTGTCTTTTTACAATTAGTTCTGCTCGAGAGCTCTGAAACAAAGAGAAATTTCGATTCGGTCGAAAAATTTCGCCTAGTGGAAAACCGCCTTAAGTGTCTATTATGGTTCTGAAGCCCTATTATGCTCCAAATTATGCCGCATAATTTACCCAAGCCTAGCCTGTAA